TGTATAATTGGCCTAATTTCCATCGAGGGTTTAATTCGGATCAGAATGTAAGAACCAACCAACTACAGTCGAGTATTCCTCTGTATAGTCGAACGACCAGAGAATGCTCGACTGTAATCGATTCTACATTTTGATCCGGATTAAACTTCAGTGGAAACTACACTATTGATATGACTTATTTAAGATAAAAAATATAAAAAAGATTCCAAAAATTTATTTAAAATATATATTTTAAATATGCCGGAGTCTCCGTACGCACGCACGTACACACGCACGCACAATAAACAGATATATGTATATAATAATATATATTCATATATTTATTTACTATCATAAAAAAAAATAAAACAATATTATTGAAACATAATTTTAGTTTGATAAGAACTAATTATTTCTTAGTTCGCACTTCAGAAAGCAAAGAGAATGATTTTTGAAAGTATAAAGAACATGGGTAAGATAAGTACAGGCTGCAATAACCCTTTCCACTCCATATGAATAAAAGCGACAGAAAAATAAACTAAGAAAAGTTACAAAACATATATGTACGTAAAAATCAAAATATACATACTATACAAGATGGAATAATTCGATCGAATAACTATTATTAGAATTGAAGCGAATTGATGTCTCAATCGTGAAATAAAATCACAGACCAATCGATCGCTCGGGGCTATCGGAAGCACGACGGGGTCAGTGATCGAACGAACGCTTTGTTTACGTCTAAACGCGTCGTAATTTCTACAACGATAATCTCCTTCCCGGATTTTGTCTCGTTTTGATTCACTTAGGTCCACATGAAGACGCAATACTAATTTCGCACACAACAAATCGCGATGATAACATGCCAACTAACTGATTCATTTCAGAAAGTTATGACTTTTGTCATCAGTTATCAAGATATTCAAGATAGGATAGGATAAGAACGCTAATTTTCAAGTGAAATGAAAAGAACAATCACTTGCGAATTCTGAAAAAATTCTATGAATGGTTTAGACATTTTATCCTCTTTTATCCAATGACATGACCTTCAAGCTTGACTTCCCGAACAATAGTAATGCGTAGTATACGATCAGAACAAAGCGACTCCCGCGTGAGATATACGAGTAAAAGTATCGATCTACCGCTAGAAACGGCCAGCAGAAATCAGAGAAATGCATGAATTTTCTATTCAGAATTATATTTAACAAATATATAAATTTGGCGGTGCATAAAATTATAAAACACATGAGCGACTTGCGAAAATTAAATAAAAAAAAAAGTACGAGGCTTACGTTCAAGATAAAATTACACAATAAAATGTGATAAAATGGATGTCAACTGGACGTAATTTCGTACTTACTTGTAAGCACTCTCGTATCCGAGCGCCAAATTTTCGCCAAATTACACGGCAAATCAACGGCAATATCAGTGACTACACGATCAGAAGAATCCAGTCGCGATCGAATCGTCCACAAAAGAGATGAGAAGCTTGGACTATGGGGACACGCCGCATCTGCTGCACCAGATGCACCGTACAGAATTACGAGGCCCGACCAATCGCGCGAGACTCAACGGCCTGCGAGCGGGGCATACCGAGATGCATGGTGAGCTTGGGAGTCCATGAGGGCGTCGAGAAGACTGCGTTCCTCCGGAGAAACGCAAATCAACGAGAAAGAAAATTCGCATCTGTCCTCAAACAAAAAGAAAATTAATGCCGAGATTACGCATTTGATTACTAAATCAACATTGTTTAAAGAAATAGAAAATTGATAGGGTATGAGTATGGAATTTCACGAATATTGAACATTCGCAAAATAAAAGACTTGCGCTAATTACATAGAAAATTGAATCCTGAAAATAAGTTAATTTTCATATATAACAAAAAATATCATAGATATTCATAATTGGTTCTTATTCAAGATTATCTTAAGTAATATCTTAAAATATTAATATAGCTCTGTGATTAACTTATGACATTTTGAGACTGTATTTAAGATAGTTTCAAATACCTATAAGAACTGATTATGAATATCAATATACAGACACAAGACACACTCAAACATGAATAGTTTCTAAGCTAAATGATGCTTTCCAGCAAGAGAGATATAGTATAACATAGATTATATATTACTTGAGCTTTAACATTGGAAAACAACAAGAATGTAATGATTCATTCTATTACACTGTATTATCTGTGTTTCTTGCTGGAAAATGCATATAGTGTATTAAAGATGCTCTTCGAGCACAAGTTTTACACCACTGATACACTATAGCAAAAATTATTCATTATCGAACATTGTCTATATTTTCTATTTATTACATTATAAGCTGCATTATATTATATATGAAAGTTAACTCATTTCACCGGGATTAATTTTCACACACACACACACACACACACGCGCGCGCGCGCGCGCGCGCACACACACACACAGACAGTATGGGATCCTTTATATAAAAATTACGATTAGGTTCCTTCCGCTTGACTTAGCATTTCAGAGTTTCATTAAACAATAAATGGCTTATCAAACTCGCATGCTCAATAATGCTGAGGATACATCAAGAAATAATATTAACTTCATCAAATACCTTTTTCCTTTTTTTTTTATTAATTCACTTCGATATTGTTGTAGCCGATTTATGTCACATACTCGCACGTAATTATCTTCCTAAATTCACAAACAAATGCATAGTCAAAACTATATTTCAAAAAATTGATCTTCAGTAACTTCTCGCATGCTATTGTGAGAAATATTGGGACACATTCGTCTAGATTTTTCTATATAACTGTAAGCGAAATAATTACTTGCGAATACTGTCTAATTCTCTGTACATTCTACCTATAGTTATTTAAAGATTCGCTGAAAAACAATTCATTCGCATGTACTAACGAGAGATGCAACAAGCTTTCAGAAAACTCACTTCGCTTTATCCTTTTTCGCAAATGTTATCCTCGATATATATAAAAATAATGCTCGTTCTTTGTTAAAAAAATTTGATCAAGCTACTACAATACTATCTGCAACAGTGAAAGTTATTTGTCGCAGAAAGATTAACATCTTTAACCATCACATTTAACTGTACATTCGACTGTACAGTGCATGTGTTACTAAACTGAAAGTCGAAAATATATATCGTCAATAAATTGGTTTGTTAACCGTGCAAACCAAACTTAATTAATTTCGCAATTAGAATGTGTAGTTACTTCTCTATCATTTTATCACACTGTTCGTTAAATAATATTGTATTGTATTTACATAGATATCCTGAATCATGGTATTTATATATAGTTTTTTCTACGATCTAAAGAACACTATTATTTCACGCTGAAAAACTTGGAGAAATATACAATAGCGTATGTATCACGCTACAAAATGTAGAAGAGTAGAAAACTTTCGGTATACGCTGCCGTTACTTAAATATAAACATTTTCCTAGACATTACCGAGAATTCGTTTTCCAGGCGGCTGTCGACTTTGTACTTTCCATAGTATTTCTGAACTATCTTTCTTGCTACATTGTGTGTTTTTATGTTATTATTAATTTAATGTTATTAGGAATTGACATATCTAATCTAGGTCGAATACAGAACGTTCGCCTCGCTAACAATAATGTTAATACGCTTTGAGTTATTGCTCGACGTAAGTAGCTTCATTCAGGCCACGGCACGCTCACGATAGTCTCTTCTCAATGCAATTGCAGATCAATCGAGGATCACGATGGATTATTGTTCCACTGGATACCCGTGCGGTATCATAAATATCTTTCTATGTACATGCATAACATGTACTTAATTTATTAATATTTACAAATACACAGCTTCTTAAATTGTGATTTTCACCATGTGAAAGTCTCTTTTTAAACGAGTTTCTTCTAGGTTCGTTTACTGCTCGCTGAAACTGCGCTTCTGCCACATTTGAGATTTGTCATTCTTTTTCTGAGCAATATTATTTACATCTGCAAATAAGATGATGCATGGTTATGAATTTACAAGTAGAAATTTTATGAGAAATTTTACATATGACATTACCTATCGCATCGCGATTCATTTCCGTTGTCACATCACCACTTAACGATTTTGGTAACTTGATCTTATTGATCTGTTGCTGATTCTGCATCTCAGACACAGTCGTGAATATTATGTTAGTAAAGTTCTTCAGTCCGTTATACGATTGTTCCAACTGCTTTAACTTGCCAATTAATTCTATGTCGGTTGTGCGTACCTCGTTCATCTATAACAATTAGAAATATTGATGATTAACAAAACATCGATCAGTAGAATCTTGTATTAATGTGCACCTTTTTTGTTAATTGTTGAATCGATGCTAGAACGGAAGCCTGCTCAGACATTTTAACGCACTCCCCTTGCAAAGATATCATTGTTGTATTAATGGCTGCTGTTGCTTCTTGAAGTGAAACTAATTTTTTCTGTAATGATAAAAATGAGATGTAACAATTTGATATTCCAAATATGTATTTATTATAAAATCTATATATCACATGATACTTACGCGATCTTTGCCTTGATCATCGGCGACCCATTGCAATTTGCTCGACAAGGTTTCATTAACATGCGTTAAATTATTCATTAAATGAGATATCGTGAGGTTTAGTTTGTCAGTCTTAATTTGCGTTTCATCAATGCTCAATATTTGAGGCTTTTGAGTAATGTTCGACAATTCTAATATAGTGTGCTACAAAAATATGGCGATGAACGTTGAACAAGTTAATTTTATTTCTACTATTTTCATTTCCGCTTCAATATTGATTGTATTTACCTTAATACTGCTAATGTTTTGTTGCATAGTAGTCTGTGCATCCTGTACCCTCATATTCGTCTCTTTTAGGGTATTCACTGTGGCTCCGAGATCCCTTATTTGACTACCAAATGTTGCAACGCTAGTTGATAACTCATCCAAGCGTTTCGGCAAATTGGCCATCTCGGGCGCGGCTTGAAAGTACTCCTGTACTTTATGCAAGTCCTGCTGAATATGCGCCAACTGTAAAAATATCGATCCAGAAGGATGTGAGTCATCCGGGTCAATAATCGGTCGCAATTGAATTATGTTACTTGTGCGGTTTTACCTGTACCGTAAAATTATTTATCTGCTGTTTAAGATCGGACAGTCTGGAGAAAATTATTGTTTGGTTGTTCTGGAGATCTCTCGACAACGAATGGCATTTCTGTAAAGCGTCCGGGACACCCTCGCTGCCCGCTATCACTGTAATATAAAAGACATTAAGCACAAAAGTGCAAAAAAGTATAGAATTATGAGATATCATAACGATTCTAAGTTCTGAAAGGTTCTAATTAAAAATATTTACAGAAATCGGTTTTTCGTGCAAAAAATGTACTAAATTTTGATAAATATTTATTGGAAATACTAACTAGATATTTCCTAAATGTAAACATTTATTACTTTAACTATTATTTTTTTAATAAATAAATATTTATTGTAAGTAAATGTTTAATTACTATTTATGAAAAATATATATATTAGAAGCTTTTCTATCCATTTTTCACAATAGTATTTATGTTCCTGAACAATGTATACTGAAAACATCATTTAAACATCATACTTGTGCTTTCAAGAAGCAATCATGATTATATAAGATAGTTAAGCACGTTACTGCAAAAAGATATTTGCTATCGTAAATTTTTATATTTATATTTATACTTTAAGATTGAAACTGATGGAATAGCTCTACCTTAAGATTTAATAAATTTTTTGTCTCAATGTACATTAGATATTATATATAAAAACAATTATATTGCATATTCAAGTTAAGTTTAGATATTTTCTTCTCTAATTATTAACTTGATTTAACCACTTAATGCTGAACTTTGCAGATGCTAGACCAATACCTTGGTCTAATTCGGTTCGCAGAGCGGTAAGCTGTTGACGAACGTCGATGAATAACCATATCAGACTGGCGGTCGCTAATACTGAGGCACATGCCAAAAAAGCGTTACAAGCTTTAAGGAATCCGGGACAAACATGTCCCCTTCTGCCTCTGCATTTGCGTCCGTTTCTAGTAGAGACATTCCAATATTCCGAACGATCGTCGCTACTGTCAGTCAACAATTCCTATAAAAATGTAAGAGAAACAAATGTATTTTCTATAATCAGAATTAAAAAAATAATAACATAATCTTCATTTATATTACAGTCATCATTTCTTTTTATAAGTATTTCTTATCTTCCTTTTTCGCACTGAATTTTGTTTTAGATTTTTCAAGCACATTAGCGGAATATTTTTCATCGACGAGTTTGTATTCATATTTTGACTCTCTTATTTTCGGGGAACAGTGCAAACATTGACACAAATGATTTCGAGAAGATAATTTGTGTTTTCGCGTCTTTGGTGTAAAATCTATGCTGGTGCCAAATATATCTTTCATTATACATTACATATTTAGGATCTTACTTCATCTATCATTTATTTTTCATCGTTCACTTCGAGAACCACTTTGACTATCACTTTGTTTTTCACAGAGAAAAAATCGATATCGAATTTGCGAAGAAGTGTTTAGAAAGTAAAGATATAAATTTTTTAATTTGTAGTTTTACTTTCTAAACACTCCTTCTTTACTTTCTAAATACACTATTTACAAATCTTTCACTGAGAATTATTGATACACATACACTTTATTTTTCGATATAGTTACCGCCATTCAAACTTTTATTAAATCTGGAAATCTGCTTTTGTATTCCTATATCATAGAATTCTGCTAGCCTTTTGAATCAACGTAATCTCTTCTTTCATTTTATATCATTGTCAAACTTCTTTCTGGTTAGATGTTTCTTAAGAAATGGGCATTCAACGAAAATTCATAAATAAATCATCAGTCTTTTTATAGTGATAATATGTTTGTGACTCAATATGTTTATGACAAAATGTCATGAAATGATGTAAATTCTCGGAAGGTCTGACGTTCATTAATGTTCACGGTGATCCATATTTTGAACTTTTATCTGACTGGGAAAAAATTTGACGACGTTGAGATAAAAGAAGAGATCATGATGTGATTCAAAAGACTGGCGGCAGACCTTTGAGACGCGGGAATACAAAAATTGATATTTTTTTACAAAACACCTATTAACTATCAATAAGTATTTTGAATAACTATGTCGAAAAAGAAAAATGTATGTATATAAATAATCTCACCGAACAATTGGAAAAAACAATTTTGCTGAAGTATCTAAAAATTTATATAGATATAACGGAATAAATCTGAGAATAATTTTATTGAATCATCAAAATAATTATGTAGAAAACTGAAGCATGATGAGTAATATTGCAAAAAGTTTTAATATTATATAACAATCAGTTTGAGCGTCCTACATAATTATCTTGATGATCTAACAAAATTATTTTCAGATTTGTATCTAGCTAAAATTTTAGATACTTCAGTAAAACTGTTCTTACCGTGAAGAATTGTGAATAGATTTTTAAAATAAATTTAAAGTTTTTTTGTATCTTTATTTTCCAAACATCCCTTGTAATTATTTTACTCACCTGCGAGCTGCGTTTCCCGGAATTCCGACGGGAGATAGCGTGCGCCGGTGCCAGAGCGTCAAGTTCCTTTCTCTTCTTCATCTTCTTCGTCGGCTGACGAAGCGGCACCGTCACTGCCACCGAGTCCATCTCAAGCAAAACCGCGCCACCTATTTTTTAGGATATCCTTGACGAATTCCCAATTAATACACTTCACTTTCAATGTTTTTCGACAGACACTGCACGATCGCCGTGGGTTTGGAGAATCGTTTCGTTATCATTTCTTAATTATTAGCTAACAATAATGCTTGACCGCCGACACAAAATTTGCGCAACTTCTCGATACCTACATGAGCTCAAACAGTGCGAATTAATCGGCACAAAAACCTTCACTTCAGTCTACATCTTCGTCTGCGAAAATATCGAAAAATATTTAATTTAATAGCTTTCTCGCTATGCTTTCGGGGCTCGCAATCGTCCAGAGAGCTGATAAACTAATTAATTCGCAATTCTCATTCAAATATTAATTGTATCTCATATATCTATGCATATTCGTTAATTGATCACTGCTTCTAAAATTAATTATATTTCACGGATAAGTGACTGTATTACAAAATGTGTAATAATTGAACGATATCGCTACCAAAATTATTGCTGCAATTAGCGTCAAAGTAAAGTTTCACAATACTAATAATAATTTAAAATTGATTAACACAAATATTAATTAAAAACAACTGATATAAAGTTCATTAATGCAAATAAACATGTTAATGTAAGTGCTAAGACTTCTCAAGCAATTCCTCTGATAAAGAAATTAATTTTGAATTAAATGCTCTGTTAAGTAAATTGTTAGATAAAAATAGGATTATAAACCATCACATTTAAATGTAATATTTTAATGTAATATTAGGTAAAAAATATACATATAAGAATGAAAACTCTTGGTAAAAAATTGTATAATAATATTATAATTTTAATCAACGTTTCTCAACTCCAGCACTATTTTTTATCTCATGATATTTTCAATTCAGAAACGATATTTTTATTAAATAATTTATTAAATAAAAAATGTCCAACATAAATCTATTATTACACTTCATTATATTATCACATTCGCGATAGTTGTGTATCTGAAGAGCCAGATTTAAAACTCTCGATTAAAGTTTAATTAGCAGTTTGTTATCGCAATGAAGCGATAATCGTAGCATGATAAACAACGATACCTTACAAACAGTGCAACAAATCAACTGTACATCCAAACACGCTCTTTACAATTTCACGCTATCACAATTTCATAAACACAGGAGAGGAACTGAAATATAGGAAGTGAATATATAATCTCGACGAGAGATGAATTTTATAAGCAGAGAAAAAAATCCTACACGTGATTGCGTCATGGAAATTAGAAGATTTTAAGAAACTAAGTGGACGGACGAACTTTATGTACCGAACGTTACAACGACGCGTTCATCACTGAGGCAAGAAGCTCTTATCAGTCGGCCGGTACCTGATCACCTTTGCATTCACACACGTATGTACACATATATACCGATCGAAAAGCTGGATTTGAATTGAACATGCGTGACACGCAACGATGTACAATGACTATTACATCTTAAATGAAAGAACGACCGCATCAAAATTGCTCAACGGCGAGAAAAAGGCAAAGAGCTGGCTTTGATAAGAGCAATCGTTGTCATAACGTTAATCTTTCCAAGGCTCTCTTTATATTTGTACGACGGTAGAATTATTTGATAAACGCGATAATGAACGCAAGAAGTGCTTTAAATGTTTGATCATCGCTCGTAAGAATCTGATATACATAGATATTTTTCAAACGAAATTTAATTATTAATCCTAGTTATGGTAATTTGATAATAGAAAAGTTAACCTTGCTTCGCGAGCAAAGAGTTGGAATCGTTTATATCGTTTTCTGTTTTAAACATAGTCCAGAATGAATCGAAGAAAAACGGAATATATAAATATCGAAATAATAATAAATAATTAATAATTAATTTTAGATAATGAAATCGATTAGATAAGAGAGAGGAATAAATCCGATTAACTATATTGATTAGAATCGTTATTTTTTGACAATTTCGAAAATTCAAATTCTTTCGAAGCTTCTTTCAAAGAATTTAAATCTTCGAAATTAATTTCTAACTTCCGAATTTTAAGATGCCTTTAAGCTTCAAAAAATTTAATTATAGAGAAAAAATTAAAATATATTTGTAGTATATTTTTTATGAAAATATATGCGTTATTGTTAGCTATATTAAATTAATAATTATATAATTTTAATTCTTCGTTTTTAATGCTTTCGAAATTTCGAAGTTCAATGTTCGAATGTCGAAACCTTCAAAGTAAAATATCAACCTTACTATTGATAGCCTTCTTACGAACAAAATATACAAGTACGAATGTCAACTGTATTAAACTTTTTGTCTTTTTGTTTCGTAATTGATTATTTAACCACGTAAAATCAGCGTGACGATAATATTATCATTTAACCTATTGACACTTCAATTGATATTACTATAATTATGTAGTTATTGAATGATGGAATTATTATGGCTAAAACGAAGCAGTGAAAATTAATTTGTTCAAAAATTCTTTTATTTAGGGTCTCTTGAATGTCCGTTCTTATTTTAACACGATTTAAAATCCAATTTAAAGGGTTTCGGGTGCGAATTAATTAATTCTATATGATGTGGGTCGATCGCGCGCGTCTGGATGGAAATACGTTGCGACACAATTACTTGCTCGCGGCCCTGAACTCGATAAGATACCGATTGTGTGAGGAAAAAAGGCCATTTTATTGTTCACATTTAAATATTACTAGTTTCAAAGTAGCTATATATATTATATATTATTCACACCTACTATCGATAAAGTAAATTTTTCAGACTAAAAAAATATCATCAGCTCTTCATTGAATTAAGAATCTAAGAAGGAAGATAAAAAAAGAGCAATGTCGAGAGAGAAACCGTTGCAAAGCAGAATTGAAAAATCTTGGAATTTTATAGTTGTATGAACGTATAAAATTTTAATGCACTGAAACTCCAAGCCTCCGGAATTTTGGCGAATTTACGAATACGGAAAAACAAAATCTACCGAATATGCATACCCGCGAGTCGACGACAAATGCAATTTTGCATGCATACTATTAATGATAAATAAGACGATTTGATTACTGTAATAATCGATTTCGCTTAATCACCATGGCTGAAATCCTCTTTTCATTGATACCTAATTAAATCGCATGATTGCATTACGTTATCGTGGACGTATTTTTTGCAGAGTCATGTATCTTCAAATCTTCGTTTTGTGCACAACGTTGCATGTCGCTTGAATTATGTTTCACGACGAAGTTGCGATAACAATGAGGTTGAAAGAAAGGAAGCAACTGCGTATATCGGCAATGCTAACGACAAACGGTTAGATACCTTGCTAATTAAGCGGATGTTGCTTAGCCGTCTGTCCTCGCCGATATACGCAGAACTTTCGTGCGTATATAACTGTATGACTAATTCTGTCGATTAATTAACATTTAATACCATATGAAGCATCAAGCCTTTCATCGTCGGTTTCTCTCACATACATTCTATTCGCATTTTAAAAGTCTATGAACGGAATGAAAGGTTTTGTTAAAGTAAAAATTCAATTAGATACAGATCTAAAATAATTTTATTATTTTAGACCATCAAAATAATTTTATTATTTTAGACCATCAAAATAATTTTATTATTTTAGACCATCAAAATAATTATGTAGGACACACAAACTGGTTGCTGGAATGTCAAATTTTTGCAACATTGTCCGTTATGCTTGAGCGTCTTCTATATAATTATTTTAATATTCCAACAAAATTATTTTCAGACATGTATTTAGCTAAATTTTTAGATACTTTATTAGAATTATTCTTTCCGTACATAGATAGTCGGCTATCTTATCAAAATACATTCGGTATTCAAAATATTAATCATTCTGATAAATATATCCAATTCAGTAAATAATAAATACGAATCGATTATTGAATTGATAAACGAAAACGAAGCAGCTGATACAATACATCATTACACGCGCAATCTGCATATATCTGAAGTAAATGTATTTAAAATAAATTATATACACTAAAAAAAATTCTAAATTTTAATGAATCATTTATTTGAAATATTTATTTGAAAATACCAACTAAATATTTATTAAATATTATACAGATATATTTATTTGATACAACTATAAATTCAACTTAATAATCTTTTTTTTTATTGAATAAATATTTATTTATTGTAAATAAAGTTAGCACAATTCAAATAAATATTTATTAAAATTCAGTACGTTAGTTTCTCAATGTACAGAATTATTGCCAACATTTAAGTTTGAGATTGTAGTTGGCGCTTCTTCAGTTAGTTAGTTACTTAACAATATCCTATATTAAATTCTGAAGAGAAAATGCGATATCATGGAAGTATCGACGATATGTCGACTCAACGCCGGAGTTTCCGTACGCGTGTCTGCTTAAATATTCATTGCATTTGCGTCAGTAAGGGAAATAGAATTGCGATCGCGCAACAATACGCATGCAAGCTTATGTCAATGGCACGCCTCTTTTTCCGCCTTAATTAGGAAAAGCATCTCTTCTCACATGAATAAATAAAAATCAGTCAAGAAAAAAAAAAGAAAAAAAACGACGAGGCAATTCTCTCATGGTCAGCGTCAAATGTTACGTGACGATCCTACGACAAATAAATTAATAACGAAAGTCGGAAACTACTTCTTGTGTGCTCTCATAGAGGCTAATCTTTTAAATGTAAATCTATGTAAATGTCAGGGACGACTTTACGCTCCCCGTATATGTTCCTCGCGGCATGCAAATCAATTTTATCTTGCTCGCTTTTGGCATCATCTAATTTATCACTTCCAATTTATTTGCATTTGTGCTTTCTGTCTTTAATTTCCTCTTCTTTTTTCATTACTTAAGAAATTAATCTTCTATGTTAATCTCATTCAAATATTAAAAATATTTTTCTGATCGTTTTTTTCTGTTCCATATCTATTTGTATATGCATTGTCTCGTGTTTTTATCTACGAGATATTCAATCCATTATTAACGTGAGATATACAATATTAATAGTTACATCTAATAATTTCATATTTAATAAAAATATTTAATAAAAAATATTTAATAAAAAATACTAAGGATTAATATCTTTTTTAAATTCAGATT